CGAGATTCGTCCCACGCTTCCCCGCTTTTCCAGACTGTAATATACGCACGCGATTTTACTCAAAAACCGTTTTCCGGACGAATTTAATTAATAATATGCTATACGATTAAAAAATGTATCTGTTCGCCGCGTTCGCGTGACCCTACAGCCGCAATATTCAAGAAAGACGAATATTGCACACGAGCTAGATGATATTTAGTATGATAATGTTTTATTGTATTTTTCCAGTAGAAATTTGGTCGAAGACATTTTATTCGCATATGATGTCAAAATTGACGACGCGGTCAATTCGAAAAAAAAAAACCGTTTCACGAAAGCAAAATCTACTCGGTCAATGGAATCGGTTAAGAAACGAAATTTCCCCCATTATTAAAAAAAAAAATAAGAGGCGATACTGGGGACGGGTGCAGCCACTGTTGTAAATGAGTAGTGAGGAAGGTGGGATATAAAGAGTTAGTTAATTTATACCTGTAACCAATGATAAGCTATTGATAATGAAAAACGAACCAGGGCGATATATTCGGTTATACACGTTTTGAAAGACCGTGTAATATTTACGATGTTCGTCTAAATTTAATTATAACATATATATATAAAAAAAAAGGAAAATTAATCTAAATATTTCTCTTTTGTTGACCACTTACTACAACTTATAATGAACTTCCTATCATATTGTCATATATTTCTTTTAAATCTAATAGTTTATCTACAGAGTAGCTACCGAATAAAAATTACATAAAAAACTCGCAAAATTTAAATGTCTATAAATAGCTCAAAACTTTTTCAAATGTTCTGTATGTTCTAACCACGTCTAAAAATGGTAACATACATTTTATGTTTCTTTTAATATTTTAGTTTGAATTATAACAAAAAAATACAATTTAAAACAAAAAAGCATTATTTTCGTAAAATTGTCCGTTATTTCTACGGTTTTTTTTTTTTTTTTTTTACTTCGTTCAATTAGTAAAAAGAAACTACAAATAAAATCAAAAACCGTATTTCTTAGTCAGTAACTAGATTCAAAATTAAACAATATTAAAACATAAGTCGCATTCATTTTTAATAATAAAATCGTAGGCCGTACATTTTTTCGTTTTTTATTTTTCTTAAAAAAAAAAAAATGAATTATTTAAACTACAAGCGCTTAAATATATTATCACGTTCGTCATACTATATATGGCAGACATATAATATACACGTATACATACGTATAGGCCGTGATTTTTAATTTTACACATCAATATTTCGTATGGCTATAAAATGCTCAAAAATCACTAAAACAGTTTTTGAAATTTTTATCACTTCTAATAACGGCTTACCTGTATTGTGTAAACATTTCAGGTCTACGCGATTATTTTAAACCGGATTAAAACAAATAAACAAAATCTAAAGTAATGAAAACGTTATTGCAGTAAACTTCCTCTTTTGACCTTATTTTGTTTCCGGATTATTACAATTATTAAAAAAACCTCATAGACAAATTTATATTGTCGGTGTCGCCACCCCGGGTAGTCGAGAAACAACCGCGTGGTCGATAGTAGGCTTTTTATCGTACCCGTGAATAATTATTGTTGTTATTTATAACAGTAAGCTTTACTGGTATATACAGTGTGTTCACGTATCCGGGTAACGTTGAATATTTTGGCGAATGACCTTAGTTTTGTATTCCGTTTACGGGATTTGAAAGCGGGTACTGAAATACACATTTAAAGATAAATGTCAACATTTCGACCCTTTCTGACACAAGATTCGAATAGCTCTATTTTTTTCACGTGATAACGGAATTCGAATCCGCGGTTATCCGGATGAAATATTCAGTGTAACGCGGAAACGCGATCACCCCGTATAATGTATGTTTATAATATACATTATTATCATATCGATTACCGAGCACGCGACGCGGTTCGCGCGTAAACAGCACTATCACGACGGTAATAATAATATGTATACGATAGTCCATCGCCGAAATTATGAAAATTAAATGTATACACAAAAAATAAATGCGCCGCGTCGTTGTTTTTTCGTTTCACCTCTGGACTCGTTGCGGCACGGCGGTACAAATAATCGGGACAAAGACGCAAAAAGCTTGAACTATCTTCCCGTGACCGACCGCATCACATACCCCTCTTTTATTTATACTCGCCGAGGATGCAATTCTCTTGTCTATACACACACCACACACACACACACACACACACACACACACACACGTAAATGTACATATATAATATAACCATTATATACGTATGTGTATGCGTATATAATATAACCACTTCGCCGTGGTATTACCGCAAACACACATGCACATACGTACAAAGACGAGATTGCGCCGACTTTTCCACGGTCCGCAGTCTTGTCCGAATAATATATTGTTATGTACATGTTGGAAATCCTCTCCGAGTGAGTACATCGGACGTAGGTCGTTGGACGCGGCCCACGGTTTTCCGGTCGTTTTTCGTCAAATCCGGTCTACGGCAAAATCCTCTTAACCACCGCTGTGGCTACAGCGTGGAGTTAATTCCACCCGTTTCGAAAAAAACAAAAACAAAAACGGCGGTTGCCCTATACTTACTACACTTATCGCAGTCGTATATTATAATAGTCTTTCGTCCCGGACTGTCTATAATGTAACATGACTGGTCGGATACATTCGAAAACTATACACAATGTCGCGGTATTTAATGAATGAATTTGAACGAATTTCCGTAACGACATTGATATTTGTATAGGAAAAAAACCGTAAAAATATTTTTATGCTGAAATCGCTGTTGTCGTTCATAAATAATCGGTTGAACAATTAATGTTTTACTTCGCGATTTCCCGCTTTCAACGCGGTGACCTATGGCCTATCCGTGATGCGGTGTATGTCCGGTTGTGATTGTGTATATTTGTTTTAAGACGTAAAACTAAAAAAAAAAACCCAGTCCTCGATCACCGTCAACGAAAAATAATCGTAATATTATTTGGTTTTTTACAATTGTGTAAACTGGATCGAATCGTCAACTATTCTGCGGCCACTCGTTTTTATTACATTCGTAAATAGTGTATTTTTGTTATTGGATTGGCCATATTGTGATTATATTGTTATTTATCCGTAGAATAATTATTTAACTTGGCGGTATCGACCATTGCAAATGCACACCGACATAGATAATGTAAGATGACCGGGAAAATGTTATTTTCATATTAACACTAATTTCTAAAATTCTATAATAAGCTTTAAAAACTTTGAAATTCAAACAAAGTATTATTAATACCTAGTAATAATATAATTAGTATCTCGTTTTGAATTTTTTTCAATAACCGCCGTTAGATTAAAACAAATAGAAAACATTTCTTGAGGTGTCCGTAAGTGGCGGCTCCACATATGAGTCCACTACATTTTGTTTTTTATTTTTTTATCGTTAAAATGGAACCGTATTTGAGGTGTATAGAAACAACTGAGACTCTACGTTCAAATTCAAATTTTTCAATCTTTTGGCGCATGTCTGACAGTTGATCAATCGTGACAAAATTGTATCTGGGTTATTCGAGGTTATATGAGAACAATAATTGATGTATGAATGGGAGGGAGGAAGGTCTCGTGAATCGAATTTTAACACTTTAAAAGTATTAACCGTTTCTTTAATTATAAGTAATAGTCGAACTAAAAAGATTGTAGATATAATATTATTGTAGATTCTATACAATAGTATATAGTACAGAAAACTATATATATATATATATATTTTGATAAGCGAATAATTTCAAATACTCAGGAGCAAACATATAATATTTCAGTATTCAGCGTGTCTATTGTTGAAGTTTTAAAATTTAATATAGTTGTTGTCTAAGAAATCAAAGGTGATGCCGCGTCGTGGTTACGCACCGGTGAAACTTGGCCATTGACTAAAGTAGACTGCAATGTATACTCATATATAGTAGATTATTATATTATCGAGCTTGAAAGAAAATACTACAAACTATAATGTTATACGGACCGAGCTTGAATTCGGACGGTCTCTCATCCATACTCTCTCGACTTTTTTTTTTTTTTTTTTTTTATCCACGAAATAATAATAAGCACTCGATTTTAGGCGGAACATCGGCATCGGCGGCGGCGCCGGAATCTCATTTCGCGGGATTAAAATCGTCTGAGGCCGGTAGACTGCGAGAAGAGGAACAAAAAATAAAAAAAAAAAAAAAAAGAGAAAAAAAAACGAAAAACAATTGTCTTTGTCGACGATAGTGATGAATGGTCCGAAACCGTATTTGCCGACAATTTAATCCACGCGCGACGGTTCGTTACACTCGATGGCACCGCCAACTGCACTGCCCCTCCACCGGGCCCAAATATAATATACGTATACTGTATTCCATTACTCACTCGCCCGCGATAATTCGCAATTTAACAACGTTAAAAATGGCCCGTGTCAAATTTAGCGGCCCGGACACTCTCTGTATACGCGCTCGTTATGTTAAAATAATATTGACCGTACAGCTAATAATATTAAATGTACCGCAGAGATTGTGCATAAACAGATATGAAAAGTTTTGATCATCATAATATGCGGTACCTATACAACTACAGTTATTTCGATTGTTTCCTGATAAGGCGCCGTAAACCATTGAATCCCCACAGGACGACGATGTTTTTCGTGGCGAAATAACAAAGTGCAGCTGTCGGCTGCCGTGAATATTTGAAACTCATGGAATTTTACGTGAACGCTATTCCTACTGAAAATTGCTCGGTAATTCGAATTTTCTTCCGTGTACTCTACTCTTGGTGGTTGAAAATCGTTCGGTTGAACGTTCAAACGTACACGAAAAATACATATTTTTAACAGATATTGGATTGATTGTACTTGTTGTATCATCATTATTCATAATATTATTGAGAACAATTTTCAGTTGGATTTTTCCTTTTTTGTCCTCGGTATTATCAACTTCTTAAGAGTGTTAAAATTTTAACACTTATTCGAACGCTTGACAGTTCAAAGTTGTTCATCCAAACTATTACCAAGCATTACCAAACTATTGTGTATAAAAACCGCAATTAGCTTTGTACGATTGAAGCGGTTTTATAATTTTATAAGACGGAATTTCAGGTCGCGTTCCCGAAGAAATAGTCTACACGTAATGATCAGAGTTTATTACACGCGGACATAAAATTAAATTAAATCGCGCTGTACTGACCTACTACAGTGGTTACCGGGCGGTAACGACGGTAAAAATACCGCGACTCCGCGGCCGTTTTCGAACCCGAAACGATTTTACGAAAACAATCATTCCTTCTAATAATATATTATACTCTCGCGTTTACCTTACACGGTCCGATAGCGTTTAGTTCGCTATTAGACGGGATAAGTGGTTTGCGCTGCGACGAACTATATTATAACGGCTACAGGGTTAATTAAAAACGACCGTATAATATACAGAGTGTGTTTGGAATCTAAACAGACTCTGTGTATTAATATGATTCGTACGAGTGTCGAACATAATATTTTAAATTTCCCTGGTAAATGTATAATTTGAAAATAAGTTTCTTTCCAGATACTTTATAGTCTTTCTGGTTTCTGCAGTATTGACATAAGCTATTTTATCGATTGTTTAAACTCGAAGTTCGAGATCTAATCATCTCGCCAAACCAATCCACGCGTAACGATCGACAAACCTTCGACAAGCAGCTTTTGGATTCCCCTCTATCTACTGACGGATCTTGAATGTCCACTTGTAAACTGTCGATATGAACTACCCGATGTAGTTTTTCCATTTCTCACATCGCTTTATCTAAACCCGTCGTAGTTTTCATCGACTGGGTATAAACTAAAAAAGGTAAAAAGTTTACACTTAAAAGTAGTTAGAAGTAGGATACTTATTTATTTGGAGCAGTAACAGATTTGGACCTAAGGGTAAATTAAGTTTGATTACTTAGCGATGGGAACGGATTTGATCTAACCGAGTACCTACAAATTGGGAACCAATTGCTAAATTTATTCTTAGGTGGACTATAAGTAATTTGATGTGTATATGAATGTAAAGTTTACTGAATGGTATACGGCCTGCAATTAACATACAAATTAGTTAAGAACTATGACTTTAAAAATAAAACAGAATTACAAACAAACAATAATTTTATTTCCTTCCCATTTTCCACATATTTAGGACGATGTAGAAAACCAACCATTAGAAATCCATGATTAAGGCAGTTTCGCAACCGTTTAAAATAGAAAGTGGTATTTAGATCACAAATGTAGACTACAGTGTAGGGATTTTAATTTTGAAAACGGACGATGGTTCACTAACAAGTTTAGTATTATCTTGACGATACGAGAACAATCTCAATTTTCCCTTGGTTAAACTTATTATTCAGACGTATATCTGTACGTACGGTAACCAATTCAGAAAGAGTTCTACGGTGCTATGTAATTTTCATCGGGAACCGATTTGTACATTTTTAATTTTGACCCTGAGAACCAATTCCGTAGATTGCATCCGGCCGATCAGAGTTCACCGATTCCGAGTTCACGCATATATTTGCGAAATACGCTCCGGGCCAAATTTATTCAGATTACAAATATACTCGGTTCGTATCTTGTGTGACAGTAAGACTATGGATACATTTTAATTATTCGTATATTTATCCAACGACGGCTATCCCTCTGCAAAGTACCTATATTTTATGTGATGGATAATTAATATTATATTTACTTACCGTGTCACTGAGCAGATTCGTTGCCAAAAAAACAATCGTAGGTGATTGGAAATCTTCCGGAAACGACGATATATATATTAAAGACTATACGGCGATTAGATTTGCCAAAAATTCGCGTAAAGTCTACGGAAGCAGTGCAGGTCGAATCCATCCTCGGATTTCAATTCCTTTCACACGTATTTACACTGCCAACCATTGGACCGTATCTTAGCTATTTTCACGGACGCGGTGATAAAAAAATGTGAGCGTCGAACTTTTAAAAATAATAATATCGCGTTTAACAGCCGATAAAAAACGTAAACGCAAAACATTACAACCAACACGTACGCAAAATCGTTAAAATTTATTTTTTTTTTTTACGTGGTTTTAACTGGCCGGCGTTCACGGTCCCGTTCCGCCGATTTTCGTCCGAAACATTTTCAGTATCCGGGCAAAACGACATCGATAAACTCGATGGTCAGCTACGAGTATTATTATAATTACTTTTGAAAAACTCGAGATGCAGTTTTAAACAATTTCTTTTAAAAACAACAAAAAAGCCCATCTTCATTATCTTTGCCCAATTTAACTATAAGAAACCAAATGTTCACAATGGAAATATTACCAGCAAATATTGCACACTGTGGTGTATTACGGAACAGAAAAATAATTGCATAAGATAAGGTATGCAAGAACCTATGCTGCATGTGTCTGTGATAATATCGATGGCCAGAAGAGTGTGAAAATAGTGGAAGATAAGGATCGATTGGGCGGTGGCATAGAGGGAGTATGGATTGACCAGATTTTTTCTTTTTAAAACCTTTTAGTGATAACGATAAAATAATCAAAACAACTTTGAACCATACAATAAATCGAAAAACCAGTAAGAGAGAGAAAATGTACGAAATAAAGGCATTAGTAAAAAAACGGCCTTCTTTTTACATTCATATAGATAAGATTAAACTACATCTTCATATTATATAATTTGCGTTATCTACTGTACGGGTGATAACAGGTGATAGTAGGAAAAAAGTTTACACGAATGCAATCAGTTAGAAAGCACTATAATATTTTATTAGAAAAAATCGCAATTCGTCGAAATTGCTAAAATGTGTTGTAATTTAAACAATTAATAACAATTAAAAAATATTGATTAAACTGAGATGCTCGATAACCCCTGCGCTCACGCCTATGTCTATGCTTATAATTCTATCAACAACTGTGGAATATCCACGGTGCGTAGTATGTATGCTTTTTTCGAAGTCTGTTAATTTTTACGTTTTCTATGGTCACTATTTCTATTTTATAGTTATTAAATATATTTTACCGAAAATAAATAACAATATATTGTTTGGAAAATTAAACATAATAATCTACATCCGTTTAATAATATATATAAATAAATATATAATAATATTGATTTTGTTTAAATGCTAAAATCGACCGTTTCGGTATCCATGTCAGGTGGCCGAGAGGGCTCAAGCGCAAGATTCGTAACACTACGGAACTACAGCCAAACTCCACGTTGAAATCCGGCGAATGAGAGAGTCGTGGTTTCAATCCCCACTCCTGAGTTACTTTTTTGCATTTTTTTACGCATACAATTTTACGTACACGTATAAATATTTATATTTATTTTAAATTTAATTGCCTTGATAACAATAATATACGTTATTTAGGTATTTTTTTTTTTTTTTTGATTGGCGCCTTAATACATCATACTATAGGTATACCCCTAAATTATCTTATGAATTCTCTTCGTGTTTTATCTATAAGTACTTATACATTATATTTGATGTTTAGTTAAATTGAAAATAGATGTTTAGTTTAAATTCTCACATAGGTTTAAACGTGATAAAACAGAATTAATTATTCATGAATTTTTATGTTTTTCGTTTGCCGCGGTCATTTGGTATTAATAGGAAGTATTAATCCGGCGTCCTTCATCACATAGTATTTGACCAACGCACCTTGTTCTCGGTATTCCTCTTGATCGCGTATCTCTCATCATTCTTTCGGTTCTAAAAATATATAATATTATTTATTTCATCACCGTAATGCCTTTTAACGTATTCCCTATCTCATATACAATTTCCTTATAAATGGAGCATATCAATTTTTTTCAATTTTTTTTTGACTTAACATTCAAGTCCTTTTTTACAATCATTAACATCAATTCAACTGTCTGTATCCGCAGCCATATTTGTGCCAATATGTATTCTAATAATCTAATTAAGTATTTTAGATTCTGAATGCAGTGATGTAGCTTATGGTTTTGCAAAGATGTTTATTTTTTTTTTATCTGTGCGCAACTTTTCTACCAGAGTTCTTGATCCGATTTTTAAGTGTAACATCTTTTCTGAAAGATCGGACTGGAGAGGTACTTTATACAGGTCATTTTATGATTTTATCTAGAGTTTTCCCGGCGAATATGTAAAACCGGGGAAATCATGAGAAAATCGGGAAAATCTTTACAATATTACCAAAGAAAAAATATAATGCTCGTTTAATTATTTTACCATAATATGATATAATCTATTGTTGACAAAGCATTGTTATCAATCGAACTCCGTTCAGAATCATTTTTTCATTAACAATGGTTTATCGTTGCTTACAGATATACCTACATTGAATTCCTTTTTGTATCCTACCTTTCCAACTTCCCACCTACAACAGTGGCTGCACCCGTCCCCATTGTCTTTGGATAGCTTTTTTAAAATATTGTATCACGTATATGTTTTATCTAATCGAAAATATTATAATATAAATGTTATACGATTGGAAATGGCGGGAACACATTAAATATTGTTGTAATGTCGCGGTTTTTAACAAGCCGGGGCCTGCAAACGGCCGTACGGTACGACGTAATAAAACCAATAGTTCGGGAAATCAACAACATTGTGCGGTAGACCATAATATTATGGTACCTATGGTAACTCAGTGACGTAACTAGGACCATTTCGTGCAGGAGGGATATACATAATATATATTTCATATTTATCACAAGGACTGAACATGCTAGTAAATATCCAGTGGCTTTCCTGGGAAATTCCAAAGAAAGGGGATAATAATTAATGATTCACGCATAAACCGTAGAAGTTCCTCCTATGTTATAACTAACAAGACAACAAGAATTCAAAGGCCAAATCTAAAAAAACTATGTATATTTTAATACAACCGTTAATATCAAGCGTTTTCCGTGTAACTTGACTGAAATACAAATGTTTTGAATATTTCAAAATAAAATTAATAAAAACATATGTTCACAGTAGTAGTTAATAGTTATGAGCCTATGAAGATCAATATAACGTCTAACCTCTCTTCCTGCGCAGTTCGCTATAAGTATCAATAAAATATAAATACCAAAATAGTGAGAAGTGAATTGAAATGAATCATCCTTTGAAATTCCGTATTATTTTCCTATAATAACGAAAGAAATAAAGGGAAAATTTTACTGCTGTACTGCTGTTCAGTAACTAATCGCGACAAGTATTACAGCCTTTATACTTATTTAACTATTGTTTTTTTGTAAGCAAGTTCCTTTAGGGGAGAATTTGGTAAAGAAACGTTATTTATAGAGAAAAGTTATTTATTGTCTAGAACTACATCTTGATGAACCAATACAAAATAGTTAATTTTATACTTGAACAAGTTAAGTTTATTTAAATTTTAATTTGTATGCTCATATAAATAAATATATTATTACCAATATATTATGAATATTTTAAACTATTCATTTTTAAGAGTAGGTATCTAAGCTGTTATTCAAGCTGTTTTTTTTTTTTTTTTTGTTATCACACGTTATCGCCGATTGGGAATTGTAGGTAGATTATTAGGCAATTATAGTAGGTAATAGACAATGTTACGTATAGTTTTTTTTCTAATTACCTTAACTTGGGTTAAAAAGTTAATTTTAAATTTTGGTTAACTTCTATCTTAGTTCAATTGATAGATAATTTTGAATTGACTTTATTTAAATTTAAATTTAACTTGACTTAACTGAGTTTAAAAAATCATTAACTTGCTATTTATAAAGTGCTTTTATTTGAAAAATGGCGTCGAAAATCAAAAAAAAAAAAAATACATCTGTAATGAACAATGTAGACAATTTCAGCATTCAGAAAACATGTAACGCGTAAAAAACGGAGCATGTCTACTATGAAAAAAAACGAGTCCATAGACTAAAAAAAAAAAAAATAACAATAAACATCTTACTAAAACCAATAACTTCCGAAGAACAAGTGTTCGGAGTACAAAAATCATAATTATAATATAATATTATTTTAAATAAGAGTTGGTCACGACATCCAAGAGCACTGGTGATTTTTTGTATCATGTACATTATATAGGTATAATAATAAGTGATGCGTATTAAGCTTTACGGGAGACGTGTTTTATTGTCATCGTTCATTATCCTCACTCTCTCTCTTTCTCTCTATATATATATGTATAATTTATAGGTATAAACCAACCGGCAAAACATTAAAAGCGATTTCCAGATGGCCGAACTACGACCGCGCCGACTTCAAAGCACGGTTCCCGTCATCAAACTGTCGGGTTCTAAAAAGAATTTCGTACACGAACGTTCCCTTTGACCCCCGTCGACTAAAATTTCGAGTTTTATAATATACTGTGCGTCGCATAGTCTACTCGCGTATCATCATTGTACGTATCCACTAAAAAACGCGCGCACACACTCCGACTAATCTCTTAAAATATATAATGTTATAGATTGGATGACCAATTCGGCTATTATTAAAGTTGCGTTGGCTTGAAAAAAAAAAACAGTACGTTATAGTTATTTTTAAAATATAAGTAAATTCGAGTGGCATAATTTGAGTTTAAAAATATATCATAAAAATGATTATGCCTTAGTTAAGTTAAAAATTACTTTTTTAAATACTGCCTATTTTAATACACTCGCGTAAACGCTTTTTGTACTCTTTTATGTAGCCTTTTAAAGGCTTACTGTACACAATACCCGTGCGAGTATTTCTGCGTCGATCGCATACTCGTCTTTTTATATGATACGATATCCACGTATGTATGGTTCAACAAATTTTTATTGTCTTACTTAAATTTAAACAAAATAACTAAGTTATTTCCTAACATCTTGATTTTTTTTTTTTTTTACCGGTTGAGATAAAAATTATCTAAAACGTAACTTATAACTTATTTTTTGACTATTTTACTAGTTACTATCCAGTCACGAAAATATAAGTAGGATTTTATTATGACATTTGTTTGCGTAAAATTATAGTCATTCTTATTTTTTAGTATATTTCCGAACAGGCAAGAAAGGTCAATACTACACTATATAGTGCTATTGATGATTTTGGCCGTGAGAAACTCGGGATTTCGGCAAGGGTGCAGCGTATATTTCTATTAGTTTTATCTGTTGCTTCTTTAAAATGTATTGATTTCTGAAAATAGCTTCACTTCTGAAGTCCAAAAAGCACTAAATCTGTCTTCTCCGCCAGACCGCGGACAAACCGCTGATTTCAACATGGTATCAAAACTCCTTGCCCATGTGATCAACGTTCCTGTATTGCTTGCTGCTTTTCCGCATTTAACATATATACTATAATTTAAATGTCTATCGAAATTATATGATTTGCATTCATTATTACGGTTATATATCACAAAACCAATTTCAAATGTGTTTTTTTTTTTTTTTTGATTTTCATTTAGACTTGGAGCGTATTTTTTTCTGTGTGCAAATAACTTTTCTACCAGAAATCAGCTTGTTGTGCTTTATAGAGTGTATTATATTTCCCAAAAGGAAAGTATATCTATTATAAGCATTAAACGGGCCATTTTTTGATAGTCTATGTTATTCGAAAACGAGGAATCTACTTCCTCGCATTATTGTAAAGTTTCAATAGTTCAGTCTAAGGAATTCAAAAGTATTGACGAAACACGACTTTTAAAACCGTTAAAATTCGTAAAATCGCGAACATTTATTTCGAGCACTGTATTATATATAAATATATACCAAAAATGCACCGAAAAAAAACATCACTGCAGTGTAATTGTATTATTTTCCATCGTTCGTTCCGACGCATTGGAAACACCTCTTACGATGAGAGACAATAACGGAAAATCGTCTTGACCTCTACTGTGATGTTTACAAAAAAATTCGTTTTCAGACGCCACTAGCCCGCGAAAACAAAACAATAAACTCACTCATACATTGTATTTATGGGCTGAAAACGTTCGGTATTTAATCACGCATAACAACAATAATAAATTCTCTTATGATAAAATATACTCAACTCACGCCACCGTTCCGCTTTTGCCGAAAATAGTATTTTTGTTATTTGTGTTTGCATTATAGTTTCTTGCATGACGTGTGTGAGTGTGTGTATGTGTGTGTGTGTGAGTGTATGTGTGAGAGTGTGTGTGTGTGCGTGCGTGTGCAAGTAACGATTGTATCGCGTGTAAACGAGTGTAAAAAAAACACATCCAAAAGTACCCGCGGCCATTATCTTATCAAAAAATATAACAGTACCTATACATAATAATATACTTGAACGTTAATTTTTTAGACGACGATTCGCCGCATTATTAATAATTAGCAATCCGATCGCGTGTGGTTCGGCGGTCCTAGTGTTTTATTTTTAAATTTTTTTTTTTGAGAGTGGACGAAACACGGCAAAATACTCCTTTTAAAATATTTTTGCGCGAGACATTGTTCGCGAGTCTATGAGTTATCATATGAGCATTATGGATATATGGGCTGTACCAAAAGTTTACCTTTTCCTCTTTTCCACCAAAACCATATTATTTAACTCACTTTTGATTCAATTAGTGATTGTTCATGCAATCCAGCATAGGTATTTTATTGTAATATACAATATAAATATTAGAAAATGTTAAGTTTTATTTAAAAAAAAAAAAAAATGATATATCGTATAGTATGTATGTAATATGTATATTGTAAAAAATATTATATTTTGTTAAAAAAAAAAAATTGATATTTTATGGTATACCTTAGCCTTGTATATTGATTGGTAAACTATTGCATATAATTAATTGATATATATATATTTTTTAATACTGTAAGATATATTTTTCACAAAATCGTACCTGAAATTTAAAACAACATTTTGTTTTAATCAATATTATATGAGTACTTATAGTATATTATTTTATTAAACGCAATATTGTGTTACCTCCGAATACTATCCCATTTTTTTAATCAGTTATAATTCGGTCATTTTTATCATTTGATGAAAACGAGTATGAGTGGAAAAAAGGAAGGTACACATTTAGTGGAATCGGGTACGAAATGGTAGAAAATGAAAAGTTCTATTTTTGGTCAAAATGCGATATGCACAGATATAAGATAACTATATAGTGTCCGAATTTCAATGCCCTAGACTATCGAAGAATGCTTTCACAGCAGCCTTTTAGCGAAATAATAACATTAAAATGCTAAGAAATTTTAATTTGAGACAAAGACGTTATAAAAATTACAAACAGAACGTTCGACGGTTTGTAATATTGATGAAGAATACTTAAAATCGCTATTAAAATTTCACCAAATCTAAATTTCTTAAGGTAATATTCTGAATTACTTATACATACACATTTTAAAATATTAATTCGGGTATTGCATAATTATGCACTTTAAATTAATAAAATAATTGAAATATTATTTAAAGATGGTAAACTACGAAAAATGCAAAAAAAAAGTTTCACTTTTTTCGCATCTATTACATGAATCAAATTATAAACTTGAAAAGCATTGTCTTAGATCATCTAAAAAATACGCACTTTACAATATAATCCGGTCCCTGATCATAACCGCTTGTTGCTACTAATTAATTATGTGTAAAAAATATTGTATGGGAAATGTTAACATATCGGCCTTAAAATAGTTTATAATATTTCCAAGGAAGACGAATGAGTCCCGAGTTAAAACCTAAAACCTTTAGTCGGGTTGAAATAAAGGGGAAGGTATGGAAAACGCCACGTTGAGTATAGATAATATTTTGAATTAGGAAAATTACGTGGTGATGAACAAAAACCATAATGAAGTTGTTATATTTTGATAGCGAACGGTTAGTGCCATTGTAATATTGTATGTGGATCCTTATCAATTTTTCGACAACTCGAAATATAACGTTACCGCACCGTGGAAAGTATGTGTAGGAAAGTTAGAAATGGTCAATATGAGAAAATTATTTTGTTATTTTTTTTTTTTTTGTTATAGTATTTACACAGCATATTTGGCGTATAATAATATGTCAGACGTTGATTTTACTCTACTCGAAAGCATAAAATTCATCACAATTCCATTTGCCGTTATAACAGTACTGTAAAATAACAACGTTTTGTCTTGTGTTATCGTTTACAGAATGCCCGCAGATTACCGTTACAGACCGGCCGGAAGCGAAGTACTACCGAGTCCGCAACTGACGCGGAGTAACCGCGAGGCGGCCGTGTAACCGATCGTGACAAGAACGGCGAAAAAAAAAAAAATTAAATAAATACATAATAATATCCGAAAAAGTATCGTCGTCGCCGTAGACGAACCGAAAAAACAATTCCGCGCCGCGCCAAGTGAAAACCGGTCGTCCCGCGGAAGTCGCGTGCGCGTCGCGTTTCATCTCGCCCGACACGATGGCCAACGGCAGCGGTGGCGGCGGCAACGGCGGCGGCCTCGGCGTGGTCGAGGCTCTGCAGAATGTCGCGCCGAACTTGTTTCCGCCCATTTACATACCAACCGTACAGGACAACGGCACTGAGGCGTTCAACTACACGGACGCAATCGAGCGCGAGTACGTCGAGGACTACGTGTTCCAGGCGGCCTTCTCGTTCGTTTACCTGCTCATATTCACGCTGGGCGTGTTCGGCAACGTGTTGGTCGTGTACGTGGTCTGGGCCAATAAGCACATGCGCACCGTCACCAACATATTCATCGTTAACCTGGCCGTGTCGGACATCATGCTCTGCGGACTGGCCGTACCGTTCACGCCCCTCTACACGTTCACAGGTACGTCGATATCATATGCCTATAATAATTCAATACTAATAAAAATCGATTTTACTGCCGTGTTCGCTCCCCTTTTCCGCTTCTCTGCGGTACACGGTTATCCAGAGCCGTAGATTGCAAGGGCGGGAAAAAATGAGCTATTTGGGTTATAGCTCCAGCCGAGTGTCTTTATACCGTGAGTACTGGGTACCTCAAGGAGTTACGATTTTACGAAGTAGGTAGAAGGTTTTTAGTATCCGAGCGTTTTTATAAATATAGGTACTAGAGAGAATACAATATTATAGAAAATACATAACCGACTAATTACAATTGTTGGGTATTACTTATTATAACCACGTACAATTCGGAATACAGAAGAAGATATCTTATATTTCATAACTGTGCATTAGTGTTGATAAAATTAAATTTAAATTAAATTAAAAACTACTGTCCAATCCCCCCCCCCCTGTGTCCGTCACAAATTGTTGACGAATTCAGATTTTTTTTTTTTCCAGAAAATCATAGAATAATATTAAAAACACATAAAGTTTTGGTACCTAGCTACATAATATGTACAGTGTACACTTTAGGTACAGTAATTTTATTTTATCAGACATGAGACTGACTGTGTAATGTACTATAATTGTGCATGCATATAAAAATGTATGGACTATTTATGATTGATATTTTATTTTTTCTTATAAATATACGAGCTGGGCCCGTTTAGTACAATGACGAGTAAATAACAGGTATATACATTTGATTTACAATATTATTCAAGTACGATACAAAGATGTAGAGAAATAAAGAAAAATGAAAGCAATAACAACAAGCAAACAGTTAACAAATAAAACAAATTGCAGAATACTAAAATATGAAATTATATGTGATTAAATAAAAAAGGCGGGGTAAAAATTGGCATTAGACATTATACGTCTTAAAGGCTCATTTGATAACTAATGGTAATCAATGGGACAATAAAAGCCGTAAACTAATGAGAGGTACGTTGTGGCGATTTAAAATGTATAAAATTGCAGAATGCACTCTACCAACTAACAGTTGTTTCATGAAGTTTACACCCATAATTCGCATGCGGTCTACTAATGAAGTTAAACCAAGTTAGCAACGAGAGTATAATCGTGATTTGCACAATTGATACCCAAAAAGTAGTTGCAGGTGAATCTTAAGAATCTACGCCGTTACTTTTTCAACCTGGCTAGCATTTTCAGCAGTATAGGAATCCCATATTATAGTACCATATTCAAGTATTGGCTGGACTAAAGAACAGAATACAATTTATAGGGAGTAAATTAAAAATCATCTGACCGTATAAATCATTATAATGGCTAGTACTCTAAGGACTTTACAACAAACCATTTCAATATAGAGACCAGAGTCAGAGTTAAGGTTACTGAAAAGCTTGAAACAAAGATCCATTGCAATGGGAAATTATAGAACTATAATAATGGTAAGAGAAAATTGAGGGGAGTGGATCCTACTGAATTCATGACTTTAGCTAAATTCAGAGATAAACCTAATCTATCGAAAAAAGCAACAAAATCATCTAAATCACACTGAATTTATTATATATATATAAATTAATGTTAACGTTAATTGTAAATATTTTATTAACAATAAAATATTAATATATTGTATTATTGTTTTATTTGGTAATATTTCTTTAATCCTTTATAATTCAGGCACTACGAATATCAAAAAAAAAAAATGATTTAATCGAAAAATTCCAAGATACCTTTATTGTTGTCTTTTTGATTTACTTTCTAACGGTATCATCACCAAAACTTTTGAGCATTCAGGAAATTTTAATTTTTAGGAGTTTTTTGCTGTAATTCGGTTATAAATACACGTATAGACTTGAAATATGATAATAATACATATATTAGACTTACCTAGAAGTGATAAAATTTCCAAAATCATCGGGAGATTTTTTTTTTTTTTTATAAGTGTTTTGAAATCAAATTTAAATGAAAATCGCTAAACAAAAAATATGGCATTTCAAATTATGTGTTACCGAACTGCGCTCGAAATTGTCTTTCGTCAAGCAACGGTTTATTGATGTTTACAGATATAAATGAAATAATCTTATGTATCCTACCTTGCCAATTACTCATCTACTACAGTGGCTGTTCCTATCCCCAGTATCAGCTCTTTTTTTTTTTTTTTACGGTAAATCGGAAGTTTCATCAATCGCGCGATAAAAATGTATTATTAACTAAAACAAAAAAAATATCTTGAATATTTTCAAATAGATTTTCGAAATTATTTTAGAGTAATTTAGGGGACATTTCAAAGAGATGCCTACTAATAACTCAAAGAGAACCCGACGGTAATTCACATTGGAGTCTATACAAATTATTGCCAATACTGGTATGTATATTATCATTAAGGTCCGGATTTATATAAACTAAAAACGTATGAAATATGCATGTATTTTCGCACCGATTATCATTAAAATGTGCACTTTGAAAATGCAAAATATGCAAACGAAGATGATTAAAACAACTTATATCGACCAAATTATCTTTATATAGAAATGATTAGATAATATAAGAAAACAAATTCCTTACGAACCATAGGTATATGTGGGTAAAATCAACGAACAATAGTAAAACAAATGGGTTTGGAACACTTAGGTATTCGACTATAATGCAATGAAAAATCCTAAAATACAAGCATAATATGTGGCCGTTCCCATTAGCCGTTCTTCTGGTTTTAATATTTAAGAAAAATCAGTTATTTATATAGAAACATTCTACAAACAATTTATGAAAAATTTCGATTTTCGATCATTTTAATTAACCGAAAAAGTGTGTTTTATAATAAAAAAATTAAATCTTAACAAAATTAATAGTATATACCTAATTAGAATCTAAAATTAAAAATGAACAACAATTTTTTTTTTCATTTTTTTTTTAATATAGTAAGTCGCGGGCGCTTATAGAGAATAATATTTCACCGATTTGAAACAAATTAAAATTGAAATTATATGTACTTGTAATAAAATAAATAAAAACAAACATTTGTAATCGAAACAGGAATGCGTAGGAAACATTTTGGAAACGTGGTCTCATTTATACATTATAATAGGTAAATAACTTATGAACTTTAACCTTGATGTATCAATGTGGATTGATGATTCACATTTTGTATTTGTTTTTTTTTTTTTTGATTTTGTCAATAAAGTCTGTTCATTTTCTGTTATTTAAAATGTTTGAGTAGTGTCTTACAAAACTAATTTATCATTTACCAATGAAACTAGTTTTCGAATTTCATTGTATACAATATACATAATGTATAGGAAATTCAACAAGTGGATCACTGATCTTTAAACGATAAAGATAAAAAGGTAGAATATAAAGAGTAATTTAATGTATATCTATAAGCGAAAATTATTCATAGTTAATCAAAAACGATTCTGAGCGAAGATCAATAATAGGATTGAATTTTCAATAATATATGTCAAATTATAATACAATAAGTATATTACACTGAAACCCTTTATGTGGACCAGTAACTAGATTTGTACTGCATCATTTTTTACTAGAACGTTTTTTATCCAAATTTAATATTAAAATGTTTACAAAAAAAATACTACTTTACTCGTTATTTTTGTTTTACACACAAAGTACGACCTTTGAGAAACCTCCTGTTAAATGTTTAAGTATTTCTGTTTCGTCTAACAATTTTACCACCGAGTAATTACCGAATATAAACTACGTACAAAACTCACAAAAATAAAATGTCTATAAATAACTTAATAATAGCTAACTTTTTTTGAAAATTTTACTACGTCTAAAAAAGGTAAATATAAGTTTTTTTATCCTAATTTCAAATCTATAAAATCTATATGAATATGTTTAACCGAATTCCAACAAAAAATTAAAATTTATCAAAGCTCAAAAATGGTCAAAACGTTGTGAAAATATCACCATCTCTATAAGAATACAAATATAAGTTTTCTGTCGAAATTTTAAGTCTCTATGAATATTTTTAATTGAATTACAACAAAAAAATAAAAATAATTAAAACATTAATTTCGAAAATTGTCCTAGTTTTCTTACGTTTTTTCCCGGGTTTTTCCATATATTATGAAAACCGCTTGGAAAATCAAAAAATGACCTCCTAATGTATAATGCAACTTGTTAAAAAAATATGTTTCCACATTACATATGGAATACAAAAACGTATAGTCGTCTAAGCGTAAGCGCCGTCTAACGTATAGTTTAAGCCCTAATCTATGTTTTATATTTTTACGCACATGCAAATGTTATCGATTTCCGTTTTATAATGCGTTTCAAAATTGATAACATAGTTTAATGGGTTTTCTCACTTGTGGTTTTTATTTTCTTAATTTACAAAATGTGCTTTGAGTGAAAAACACTAATCTTTGAAAATGAAACTTACACTTATTATAACGTTAGATCATTTTTAATTATTTATAAACACACAAATAATTAATTAATAATTAAGTTCAGATACAGGATTTTTAAAATTATTTCTCCCAAATTCAGTGCATCAGAATTGATAAAGGATATTTTTTATGTGAACAAATAATTGGGCATTGAAGGGTTAAACTAAAGAAAATGGTATTAAGAAAAGAAAAGAAAAGAAAGGGTATTACTAAAGAAAATATATAATTCCTAATTTATTATATTTTACTATAATACGACATTCATGTTGTTGACAAAGCATCACTATCAACTGAACTCCGTTCAAAATCATTTTTTCGTTAAGAGTGGTTCATCGTTGCTTATGGGTATACATTAAATAATTACCTGTAACAATAGCTACACCTGTTTCCATTATCCTAGGAAAGATTTTAAAAATTGTTTTTTAGATTTAAAGCATAGCAAGAAATCTATTGGTTTTAAATGGTATTTATTTTTTTAACTTTAGGTATACCACTTTTCTACCAACATTTTACATTGATTATCAAGTGTACAATTGTTAGCCTTTTCTAAAAGGGAATACTATCTGAGTGTACATTTAAGATGTCGTTTGTTTTTCCAAGTAATTTTCATAATAATTGGAAAAAACCGATAAAAACCTTGGGTAAAATTTACGTATACAAAAGAAATTTCGCTGTTAATCGTTTTTCATAAGCAATGGTTTATATGTTACTTAAAAATATAAATTAAACAACTTTGTGTGTCATATTTCCACAAATTCTGCACCTACAGAAGTATACGCACGTTGCCAATATCAGTTATTTTTTATAATTATTTATGTAGTTTAACCTATAAGCAAATGTCCAAAAATATGAAAATATTTTGAAAAAATTATTTTACAACTGTTTTATTATTATTTTAACGTATTATTCAAACTTTTGATACTGACGATGAGGTATTCATGGATGTGATTTAAATTTTTATATATATTATAATCTCGTATTTCTGTTTAGATTGTTTAGACGTCAAAATTGTGTAGTATAGATTATTAAAAAAAAAATTATAACTTACGTTATAGTTTTCGAGCTTATTCGGTTGAAAAGGGAACTCTATAGATCGTGTGTGTCTTCTGTAATCCGACTATAGTATACAAACAAAGGAAATTGATAATCTTTTAATAGTGTTAAATATGTATATTGAAAGTTTCAATACAATGACGAGTTTATGAATAACAACCAGAAAGTTAACGAGTCAACTTGTTTTAGTGAATAGCCGATTGAAGGTAAAAAATATTATTGTTATTCATTAATTTAAATTAGTATGATTATTTTTTTTTTCAACAAAACAAATTACATGTAATTTTAGGTAAAAATGATCATGCCATTTAAATTGTTATCTCATAACCGTCCCACTTATCAACAAAAATCGTTATTCACATAATAACACTTCTCCCCTTCCCATCAACACGATCTAAATAATTTTCAGCTGGGGTTTCTTCCGTCGGAATAGGATTTGGTTCGTATTTAGCTGGAGATCCTTTAGTCGGAATAAGATCTGGTTCGTTTTCAATTGGGGTATCTTTCTTCGAGTTAATTTCCGGTGTTGTCCCACGGGTCTGTATAAGCAGGTCAAACGTGTGAGCATATCCACCATCTTTACTTCATTGATTTTCCCCATGACAGTCTTGCGAGAAAAGTTATAATGACCACATATTCTGGCACCAGCCTGAATATTCCTCGATACCCCCGTACAATAAATAGATGAGTGGGTAAATAGTGCGAAATTTCACGAAGTATTAGCAATGAGACGTACCGTTACATCTGAAGTTACTAGATCCACTGAAGTAACGGTGACTCAGAAGGAGATACCGACCCAGCCAAGCAGTCAATCGAAACAAACACATTCTGGCGACCAGATTAAGGAGTACCAATATTTATTCACCAAGATTTACATTTTTTTTTTCTATGTACTTATATATATTGCTTATTAAGATATCATTTCAACTATATAGCTACCAGAAAAAGAAAATGGATTTGTTACTTTTTTAATTAATCATTTAAAATAAGAAACAATCCATTATACGTACGTATTGATCTTATCCAATAATAATAAAAAAAAAAAGAGAAAGAATATAAAATCAATATATTTGAAAGGAAAGGAAACGTGATTAAAAGTCTTGACTAAATGGATAATTTCTCTGGGGATTTTTATTTTTTTTTTTTATAAAAATAAGTGCTTATAAATAAAAAAAAAAAAAACAAATAAGAATATTTAATTGACGCTAGCATTAAGTGTGTACATTTATTATATTTCCTTATTCGCTTTCACCTGTAATAACCTAATTATATATTTAAATGATGATCGGAACAGTTTTCAAAGTAATATTATAAAGAAATATTGTAAAGATTTGCTGGATTATTATATACATATATATATATTTTAGTTAAAGAAAATATTAATTTTGAAAAAGCATCTAATTATCCTTGTACATTCCGGAAATATAGTTGAGAATTAATATTTTATTTTATATAATTAAAAAAAATTACTAATTGCTCAGTTGCTAGTTTATTAATATGCAAACAAACAAAAAGAACATTTCATATTTATCTACCATGGATTAATTTTTTCTTCTTCTTACTTTCTCTTCTTACCTTCCGAGCCGAAGAAGTAGACAAACGTTACAACTGACCGATAGAGTGTGATGGGAAATACTAAGGGGCGGTATGCATTTAATTCATCTGCCCATGTCATTTAACTATGGTAGGGGTCGTCTATTATATATGTCCCGATAAATATCTTTAAAAGAGAAGACACCGGGGTCTGGCTTTCCGTCCGTTATTGATGCTTTCAGAATATGTAACCAAAAATATTTTATTATTCGGTAATATTTTTCGTACAAGTAGAATTGGTATACAATTTACCATTGATATATTTGTATAAATAATATAGATTAGTTCTTTAAAAAAAAAAAAATTAATAAAATAAATAAGAATAATTTAATAACAAAAGTCTAGCATACGTCGCACGTGGGTGGTCCACTGTTGTAGGCAGAAGATAAGTTGGGGGATGTCGTAACAGAATAAATGTAATGTATATCTGTACGAAACGACTACCCATTTCTAACAAAAAATGATTCGGAGTGGTGTTCGGTTAAAAGTTTTGCTTTGTTAACGAAGAGTTTAGGAAAAAAAGCACTGTAAAAAATAAATTATCTAAATATTTTTTACTCGAAATTAGAACAGTTGGAAACAAAAAATTTAGATGGGAGATGGGAGAAGCCACTGTTGTAGGGGAGAAGTTGAAAGGTAGGATACATAAAGTGATTTCATTTATATCGGTAAGCAACGATAACCTATTGCTTTACGAAAGACGATTCCGTGCACAATATTGAAGTGCTGCAATATTATTGCGATTTTCGTTGAAATTTGATTTCAAAACGCTTTTAAAAAAAAAGTCTTGCGATAATTTTGGACATTTAACTACGTCTAGATATGTCCAAAATAAGTATTATTACCGAGTATGAGGTCTCTTAGTGTATTAATAACCGAATTACATCAAAAACTACCAAAAATTAAAATTTCTTTTATGTCCGGGAAAATGTAATTGTGAGCATAATAGACGTTTCCTGTTGTATGTTAACAAAAAAAATAAAAAACTATTTTAAGAAAACTACACTTTCCGAAATTCAAAAATAACAACGCAAACAAAAAATTGCGCATTCTATTCATATAATTATCACACGTTCTTTCTATTAACATTTATAATTGATATATTGTTTTACGCGATACACATGATATGACGGTAAATACTAATTAAATTGTAAATAATAAGTATATGAATTAAAAACTATGTTGCGTGTTTTCAAAAAAATAATAACGTAAAAGTACAATTATTTTTACACAAATATTGGTATGTTTAATTTATTTCATAATTTTTTTCTAAAATTTTAATTCTAATGTTTTTGAATTAATAATCTATATGCAAATGTCCAAAAATGTGAAAATATTTTGAAAAAATTATTTTACAACTTTTGGTTTATTATTTTAGCGTATTTTTTGAACTTTTGATACCGACGGTGAGATATTCATGAATGTGTTTCAAATACATATATATATATATATATATTATAATCTCGTATTCCTGTTTAGATTTGAGACGTCAAGATTTTGTAGTATAAAAAATTAAAAAAAAAACTATAACTTACGTTTTAGTTTTCGAGCTTATTCGGTTGAAAAGGGAACTCTATAGATCGTGTATGTCTTCTGTAATCCGACTATAATGTACTATAATTGATCATTATACCAGGTAAGTAGATTCGCGATATTACCTAATTTTTTATTCCGTCGCCCGCCGGTGCACTACAACATAATATAGTATAATATAACAAGGTAAGTCCACTCTTTTTGAAAATTGCCAGCTTAATTTTGATAATTATTTTTAAAAAATGTAGTAACCAACATAGTAAAACAAATTGTGTTTATTATTTTCGGGCATTACCTATCAATAGAAATTAAAATGTGTTATACAGAGTTTGAAATTTGTTTTTGTCACTGAAAACAAATGTATTTATTCATCCTGAACAATTTTAAAAAGTCGATTTTTCTTGTTTTTTCTCCAAGTAATTATTACTGTATTATTTTTTGTTGAAAACACTGCAGTCCATCACGGCATTAGATTTTACGAGTGAAAACGAACATTCCGCGTGATCCGGGGAATTTCTGATTATTTTGGAAAACATCATGATATGATAGTTTTGACAATGTTTTCTTCGAGTTTGAAATTAACACTTCATTTTTTTGTTTACAAAGCACCTATTATATTTACAATTAACTATATCGATAAGTTTGTCGAATGACGAACGATGTAACGCAGCCATACGAAATATTCTGAAAAGGGATTCGAATTAAGCGTATATAGTGTACCTACGCTAGGTTGATCAGTGTATTTTTTCGATTATCAGTCATAATTTTCAACAAAAATCATTGGATAATATTGACAAAAATATCAAAAAAATTATTTAAAATGTTTAATGTGATGTGCGTGTACACATTCTCGCTGAATTTTATATCATTTTCAAAATTCACATTGAGTAACTTCATCGTTCGGAATGCTTTTGAATTAGTCTAAATTGTCACACCAATGTGTACGAGTTAGATAAAGAAATTAAACAACGGTTCCAATTCCATCTTACTAAAAATAATTACCAAGTGCATACAAATGTATCATCGTTGATTTCAATTCATGTATAAATAATTAACACCGTTTTTCGGTCTTGTATAGCTAATATTTCATTAACAGAACCATTGTTATGCAAATAGTACCTTGAATAAATTATATTTTTCCCCTTTAGTTTTAAATCGTTAGATTAAAATAGAAAAATATTTCGTCGATTTGCACCGAATTTACATTGAAACTACGGGTATTTGTAATAAAACAAACAAACATTTTAACGAGAATTAGTCGGGAAAAACATTTTGGAAACTTTGTCATTATAGATATACATAATATGAAAATTGTACAAAGTACGTTAAAATATTTCTTGCTAAAATTCGTTCTCGTTTTTCGTTAGGAATAGTTTATCTTTGACTACAGATATAAATTAAATAACATTATTTATCCTAATTGTTCAACTTCTTACCTACGGCAAATGGCTACTGGCTGCACCTTTCACAAATATGGGCTTTTTTTTTAAATTTTTTTTTCTGCTTCGAAAAAAAATCTAGCTATCGAGTATTGTACTTTATTGAAAGGGAATTTTGATTATTTAGTGCATTTTATAGGTCGATTTTTAATTTTTACTGAGGTTTTTTAAAAATAATTGTGATGAACGAAAGTTTTATTTTATTTAAAATGGTCAAAACTTACAGCGTGACGATGTGTTACGGATTTCATTATTTTCAAATTGTGCCTATTATGTTTTCTACTAGAAGTATTTCTGTAGGTAATCAAAAAATTCCTAGAAAACTTTTTTTATTAAATTTTAGATATCTAGATGCTCATGAAGAAAGTAATTTTTTGATTTCCCATGTAGTGTTCACAATAATCGGGAAAACCCTTAAAAGACTTAAAATGAAAATTGACAAATTCACGGCGTACGATTTCATTATAATAAATTTTTACGTATGACATTTTTTAACAATCGAAAAAAAAAACAAGAATCTTTTTTTGTATTTATTATCTTGTAGAAGAGTAAAAATGCCATTATTATTTCTTCCGGTAGCTTTTTTAATAATTGAGTACAATCCAAAAATACCAAGAAAGAACTGACAAGTTTACAAAAATAATGCTTTTATTATTTTCAGTTTTAGATTTTGAGTGTAGTGAAAAATTTATTGGTTTTACAAAGATTTTATTATTTTTTTTTTTAATTTTCTTATACTTTGTACAAAAACTGTTTTAGAAATCTTGTTCCGATGTATACGATGCAAACGACGTTTTTTTTTAAAGAAAATTTTCTCAACGTGCTACTTTAAGATGATCATTTTTAATTTTCCCGGTAATTTTCCTAATAAAAGGGAAAAAGTGGGAAAAAACATAAGAAAAACTGGACATTTCAGGTGGGATTTTTTCCGTTAAAACACGATCTAAATCATTTTCAGCTGGGGTTTCTTTCGTCGGAATAAGATCCGGTTCATATTCAGCTGAAGTTTCTTCCTTCTTTCTACTAATGTTATAAAGAAGTATTGTAAAGATTTGTTTTTATTATATGTATACATGGATATTCCTATTTAATGAAAATATTATATTTGAAAAAGCATTGAATTATCCATGTACAATCCTGAAATATATTTTAGAGTTAATATTTTATTTTATACAATCAAAAAAAATTACTTAGTTTAATCATATACAAATAAAAAAAAGAACATTTCATCTTTATATTTTATGAAATAATGTTTTCGAATTAACATAGTTATGGTCATTATTTTCGATCTTGACGTCGTGCATTTGAACATTTTTCCATTGTTTTTTTAAATGAATATCACTATTGGATTTGGGAATTTGGGATCTGTAAAACCAGTACGAATAACTCTGTGATCCACCACCGAGTTCGTTTTTCAAATGTGTTCTCGGGGTCTGTACCAGAATCTGTAAACAAAAATATTTTATTATTCGGTAATATTTTTCGTGCAAGTAGAATTGGTATACTATTTACCATTGATATATTTGTATAAATAATATAGATTAGCTTTTCTCAAACAAAAAAATTAACAAAATAAATAAGAATAATTTAATAACAAAAGTCTAGTATACTTCGCACGTGGGTGGTCCACTGTTGTAAGTGAGAAGATAAGTTGAGGGATGTCGTAACAGAATAAATGTAATGTATATCTATACGAAACGACTACCCATTTCTAACGAAAAATTATTCGGAGTGGAGTTCGGTTACCAGGAAGATAACGAGTCCAATCTTAGTATAAATACTTTAAAATTACCTCCCTATATTTATTAATGAAAATTAATAAACAATAATTTAAGCGAAAACATGAATTCTAAAAATTAACGTGTCGATTTTTTACCATAAACATACCTATATTTTTTATATGATTGAACGTGATGCTTGATAATATTCTAACGATGGATTTAGTAATTAGACGAGTAATTAAAGCGTAATAATATATTTATTTATATAGTTTATTTCATATGGAGTAAACTTCATTTACAAAAAGACATTACAGCAGCAAAACGTAAGTTATACATCAGCATGCTAAATTAAAACAGCAAAATAAATAATTATAAAACATAACAAACAAACATATAAAAAGAGCTTATACTGGAGATGGGAGAAGCGACTGTCGTAGAGGAGAAGTTGGAAAGGTAGGATACATAAAGTGATTTAATTTATATCTGTAAGCAACGATAACTTATTGCTTTACGAAAGACGATTGTGTGCACAATTTGAAGTACCGTAATATTATTGCGATTTTCGTTGAAATTTGATTTCAAAACGCTTTAAAAAAAAAAGAAGTCTTCCGATGATTTTGGAAACCTTATCACGGTTAGGTGTAGCCAATATAATTATTATTACTAAGTTTCAAGTTTCTACGTGTATTTATAACAGAATTACAGCAAAAAAACCTCCCAAAAATTAAAATTTCTTAAATGTTTAAAATATTTGGCGATGTTAACGTAAAAAAATAAATTGAAAAGCAAATATAAAAGGTATCTTGTGATTTTTTAATTACATCATTTTTTCAGTTAGAAAACGTCATCTGTGTTTTATAAAATCGCGTCTTCAGAGCATTAGAAAATGTGCCTATTTCTAGGGATTTGTGAAACAGAATGTGTAAGGAGTATGTTAATATCAACAGTTATATAAAAACGTTAGAGGGAAATTGTCAGGGCCAAATTAAATATTTAGAACTAAATTATCGAGCTAATAATAGTGAGAGTATCTTTAATGTATTTTATGATAGAAATCTTTTCACCTCCGCTTCGATGATTATTAGGCTTTTTACGTAAGTCAGACATATATTCCCATTGTTTATCAGTCCGATCTGATGAAATTTTAACATTTGACATTTGACATTATTTTTGTTAATTATGTTATATTATATTATATATTGTTATTGTGTCGGGGAAAGTGATTAAAGCTAGAGTTTGTTTTTTCGTAAATATCAATAGTCAATTAAAAACACAGGCGTGGACGTGTAATCGTGTAGAGTTTGATACAGCGTCGCCGTCGTGCAAACAATGACTTAATATAAAAATGAACATGTTAAATACCTCATTTCAAGTGATACTGTACATTTTAGTTGAGGAATGGCATAACGCATAGCTAAAATTTAAAAATGATTATGATTTATTATTGCTTTTTGTAGGTTAGCTCCTCATAAAAAAAATAAAACTAAACATAATACTAAAACAGTCACGACACATATTTTTTTCTTATGAAATATATGTTGTTTTTAAATACATAATGCTGTGTAAAAGTTTTAATTGACCACGAAATTAATAAGTTACGACCAGTCTTGCTTTCACTACTTCAAAATTAACTAGATATTATATTTATTAATGGATATTTATAAAGAATAACTGAAGCGAAAAGGTTTGTTTGGACACGTAACAAAACGCAAAAGTTAAAACATGTAACTTTAAGTAAAAATTATTATGTCATTTAAAATTCTACCATGTGAATAACTCCGTGTGTCAATAATAACCCTTATTCGTATTGATACTATTTTCCCCCATTAATTTTTCAAAACTTACTTTTTCATCCATACTCGATGGCGGGCGATACTTTTTTGATGCTGAATTTTGAGGCACTTGGTGGCTTGGGTTTACGATTTCACATAGCATGATTAACCAGCATATAGTAACGATGGCAGTACGCATTTTCACAAATTAACTTTAAAAAAAAAATCAAACAAAAAAATTGATTATTTTTAAAAATATATATAAGTTAGTTGCAAAATGTAAGCAGAACTAAGAAAAACATCTGAGTACCTATAACCAATTGCAAATCGGAATTCAACAAAAATAAAACCGTAGTATTATCATAATTTGCCGTCAGATTTATAGATTCAGAATAGAGCGAAGAAGTTTATGGTTTTACAGTGATGTATAATTATTTTTTTTAATGATGTTCTTTATGTTTACGGGAGTTTTCCCAATTTTATGAGGAAAACCGCGAGAACGGGAAAATAGGTATAATTTATTAAAGAAATATCATTAAAGATAATGTTTACCGCATATTAATAAATCAACACAATTAACCGAACTCCGCTCAGATTCGTTTTTTCATAATCAATGGGTTATCATTGCTTACAGATATACATTCTATTCCCGTCTGTATCCTACCTTCCTAATTTCCCACCTACAACAATGACTGCACCCACGTGCGAAGTTTGACGATCTTTTTTTATTTTTTATTTTAATAAAAACTTTTATTTACATATTAACATTTTACAAACAAATTTGTGAACAATTTCGTGGATTTTTACTCACTAAAAAGTATTTTCCGAAATAAAAAAAAAATACAACATAAAAAATTAATAGTGCGTACCTATTTAGAAGCTTAAAATAAAAATAAATACCCATATAAAGACCACACTCATATATATCTATTGTCTATAAGCGTATATAGTTTTTAATTGTTACACGTTTATTTTTAAACTTTGATAAAATTTCAAAAAAAATTGAATTACATGTGGAAAATGTAAAAAATTATTACAAATTGGGAAAGTATAGAATATATTAAGTCATTTAATGGATATCTGTTATCAACGTTAAACCATTGTTAATAAAAAACCGTTGAAAGCCATGTTCAGTTATACATAGTTTGAAAGTCTGTTATATTTTCGATTTTTGTCAAAACTTTATATTAAAATTCTTTTAAAAATAATAAATACCACATAACACTGTTTTTTTTTTTTTTATCACTTTAAGTACAATAGTTGTACTTATTAGTCGAAGTGTATGAGGATGCTTATAAGTCACTAACAATCAACCTCGTGTTAATTGATCAAGGATTTTTGTTTCTTCAAAAACATCTGCCATTTAAAAATTACGTACAAAACTCGTAAAACTAAAACATCTAAAATGTTAATTTAAATATTTTGAAAATTTTACTACCTCTAGAAAATTCAAATATAGTGATACAGTTTTTGTCGAAATTGCAATTTTCTACAATATTTTTTAACCGAATAACAACAAAAAAACCCAAATACCGTACTTAGTAATGGTGTACGTACATTGCAATATTTCTTACGTTTTCCCTAGTTTTATTATAATTATTAGGAAATTATACCAAAAATCAAACGATTTACTTACTCTCATACTAGGCTAAATTTTGTTTTCAATAGTAATTTGTTAACGTGTTCTTCTTGAAATCTTTATCCCTTAGTTTTAAAATAATTGTATTTTTCGCCTTTTTTGGTTTTTGCCAGGGCTTAAACTACACAAATGTATTGTTCTTATGTTTTTGAATATTTTAACGTTATAAAATTTTAATGTTAAACGTCATAATATGTTCAACAGTATTATGCTTTTAATTGTTATTTTAATTGTTGGCTATGTTTTATTTAGATTACGTTATAAATTAATTTGAAATTTTTTTTTTAATACATTTTTTTGATATTACGCCTGATGTAATAAAAAAAAAAAAAAAACATACATTTCTTAAAAACATTGAAAAATAACTAATTAATAACTTAATAATTAGTGTCGGAATTTGTCTTATATAGCTTAAAAACGCTGATAATAATAATAAATTTAAAAATTTAACAAGACAACATAATGGTGATTAAAACAAGGATTTTATAGATTGCGTTGCTTTAAACTGAAATTATAGTGAATAAATACTTAATTTAGAATTATGATATTATAATCTACTAGGTGCTGCTTAGTACCTAGATGAAATATTGTTAAAACAAATGATGGGATAGATAGGAAAATGTCGAAATATTAAAATATCTACATCCGACGACTATTTGGTTTAATGCAATTTGAAATGGCATACTTATTATTTTCACTGAATCATATCAATGAAATTGAACAAAAACGCGATAAAAAAAAATGAAAATACAAAAATAAATTAATATATCTACTAACTTCGAGTCACACGAACTTGTCGATCGCTACAATATGTCTAATAGAAAACATAGGTTTCAAAAATTAAAACCAATGAAATCGGTAACGCGGCCGCGATGGCGCCCCGTAAATATTTGCCGTTTATAATTTTTCTTTACGGTTTTTCTCAATTATTTTGAAAACCTCATGAAAAATCAAAATTGCTTACTCAATTCACCGAAGTTACTCATAAATACAAAAAAAAAAAAAAAAAAAAAAAAAAAAACAGATGTCATATTAAAACTGGTAGAACCCTCGCTACGCTCTGAATTTAAAAACTTTAATATAATCTATCGACAAAAAAAAAAACCCCACTATTTAAGACACGCTCTTTTACTCGGCAATCAATTTTCCAATAGGTTTCGACTATGGTTGTCCGAACAGAAGTAATATAATTTAATTACTATAAGTACGACAAAAATAACACGATGCAAGACTTACTTGTAGGTTTCGCAGCAATAATACAGCAATAAATTCACTTCGAGATATCGGACACCAGCACAGTCTGTAGTTTTGTATCGATTGACGATCTATGACGATATTTATAATATTTGCTATTTATAATTGTACCGACCGTATTGCTGTGGGCAGTGTGATAAACAGTTGGGTGGTGGCTGTGATAAAAATTGCCAATGAATCGATAACAACGGTGACATTTGACTGTTCATTATGTTATCTCTTAAACTATAATCACATTACGAAATTATAGTATTATTATTGTAACGCTGAAAAACCTTGACAAATAAACGAGACTTAAGTGTACATAACAAAACGTATACATAGCTGTGTACACGGGGTGTGGGGAAGTGTTGGCAGCTGCCCTCCCTTTTTTCCGAAAACTGTGAAATTTCGATTATAATGTTAAATTTGTAATTAAACTAATGATATGTTAATAAGACATAAAATAAAATAAATAGGTACTTACATCATTGTTAATTAACATATTCAAATTTTTATCTGAAAGTGATAGTGAAAATATATACACAGTATACTCATTATAGTTGAATTCTGAAATTATAATTTCATATAGGTTTCAAAAATTGTATAATTATATTATCGCGATTGATTACTATTTAATAGCTTTAACTCAAGATAAAACAGAGAATCCGTTTATGGTTAAAATATAACACCCACATACCATAAATCTCGATTTTAAAATATCGAGGGTTGGTTGTTTTCTGATAATTATCTACATAAGTAAAAATTGTGTTTAAAATAAGTACGTATAGATAACTTGGTATTATTTATCGAGATAAGGTAAAAGATGACTAAAAATCCATCTAGATAATTTACAAATAATTTTTTATTGTTATGGTTTTCCTTACAGTCGTACTCATGTCATTCTAGTGACTTGTGTAATTATTTATCAGCTTGTTTTTAATTGCCTTGAAAAAAACAAAATGCCATTACGATTTTATGGAGTCGAATACTTACTTCGCCAAAGGTAAATGTTGGTAAATCATTTATTAATGATTGAGATAATATTTTTTTTTTGTTGTAGTATGCGAAAACCAGATTTCGCATACCCTTCACCATACGTTACAATCGTACTAAAACCAGTCGTACATATGAGTGATTTCGTCGTACGAATATATTTACAAAACTTTCGATATGATAATAATAGGTAATTATTGTAGCACGCGGATGAATCATCATATTTATTATCATATTACAGACTCGTGCCGTGAAATATTTCATCCGGACAAAACCGCGTAACACGGTTACACCGAACAATAAACAAATTATTTTATTAATTTTATGCAGTCCTCCAGTATATTTCACGGTCGCAAACGAATGTGCTGAGCGAACTGGGACAATTGGGATCACATTTTTGAAAACGTAATGATAATGATTTCATCGCAGTTTTCAATAATAATAAGTTTTTTTTTTTAATGGGTGGGGGGTGTATTGGGTTCGAAAAATATATTTTATTTATTTTTTTAACAAGGCAATTATTATACTTACTATTTCTGCATCAATCAGTTCGCCGAAGGACGGTTGATGCACATTTTCGATTTTTAGTCATAATTTTCAAAAAAAATTTCATCAAGTTTTAATTGTTGATAATCTTAAGTGAATATTTAATTGATGTATATGGAGTAGAGATATATACAATTGAAAATATAATGTTAAATAAAGTTTAAACGATGGTGACATTGTTAAAATGATAAGAGAATAAACAGAAAAAAAAAATCACTTGGTGCCTTCTGTTTATGTTAAATGGATTAATCCAAAATACCTAAAAGTATAAAATCCGTATCAAGTCCCATGAACGGTATATTTTTAAAGATGAGATGTTCCTTACGTATATTCCTTATCTTTGATCAAAGTATTTGCGTTGATATACGATATATCGTGTCGAGGATGCACCACTACTCGAATTGGAAGGAGGACGCAAGTTTTTTTTAAGGTTTTCTCCATAGTTCAGTAAATTACAGCAAACCCAAAAACAACCTCCTCATTGCACCAGCTAGATGACATTTTCTACAAGAAACAATCACTTTTTAAGTTGATGATCGGAGCAAAATTTCTAGTTGAATACTGATAGAAAAAAGTCATTACGTGTATTAATAACCGAATTATAGCAAAAACTCCTTAAAATTAAAATTCCTTAAAAGCTCAAAATTATCTCAATAGTTCTGGCGATGATACCTTAAGAATATAAATCAAAAAGTTTTTTTCGATTAAATCATTTTTTCTTGTAGAAAACATCCTCCGTGTTTTTATAAAATAATGAAATCGTTTTTCTACGTTCTTTCCCACAT